CCACTAGGCTACTTGACTGACCCAACATCTCTTTCGTTGTAGGCATAAGTAAATTATCTAGGGTTTTTCAATTCAGCAAGTTGAAAAATTATGCCAACTAAGGTAGAGTAGGTGGCATACTTATCAGTATCATCCTTATCAGGACTGATTAGTGCTACCTAGAATGAAATAAACTTCCATGAACAAGGCTATAGTTTGAACCCTCATTTCATAAATATAGACCTCTGGGGCACAAGACAGAAAAGGCAAAAAGAACTGGTCACCAGCTCAATCTGTCTTATCAGAAAAGTATTTTAAAAGCAAAAGATGTTAGCACCATGCTGTTAAGATAGCTACAGTAACTCATGTCTGCGATCTCTCACAAACTTCAGTGTTGGATATCTTAACAATATCTTATTACACCCCACTCTGGACTGGAGTTCTGAACTGCAGTATCTGCAGCTAATAGAATAGAATGTATTGAAGTACTCAGATTGGGGTATTGCCTTGCCCAAACTATATAGATCAAGAATTGGAGAAGTAGGGCTGGCTCAGTACACAGTGGTAACATGCTGCTTGAGCAATCCTGGATCTGTATGGAAGATTGTGGGCTTGGTTCCCTGGTGGACCTGTAATGGACACACATGCCATGATGCTGGTTGGGAAGGCTAGGGTGGGGAAGGAAACCGTGGCATGGGAAGCTATTGAGGATGTTTCTTTCTCTCCTGGGTGGTAAATTAAAAAAAAAATGTTGGAGATGTATGGATCCTAAATACTTTTCCATGCAAACATAATTAAGTAATATAAGGAAATGAAAAGTGTCAAATGTCCTATCACATGGTAGTGGCTATAGCACTCTGGATTAGAATTCACATTAGGATAAGAGAAGGGTCTAAAGCTTTACACACAAATCACTTGTAACTAAACCCAGTTTTTTAATCTACTTTGGTCAGATCACAGTGATTGGCAGCCCTTTATTACCCTCTAACACTATATTGCATGTGGCTCAGTGGGACGAGATGAAGAGCCTTGAGCAAGACCACTACATCAGATAGACACTGCTTTATGTAGAAGAAACAATAGTTTTATTTAATAATTATATTTAGATCTTTGGATTAGTATTCTACATGGCCATTCTCAATCACAGCTTGATTTCTACTTGCTGAAGTGCCATTTTTGTATTTTGTGTTCTTATTGTTCAGGTCTTAATGTTACACTAAAGAATGGTTCTGGATTCCAGCAAAACCAGCTTAGCAAATAATAAGGCAATTGAGGAAATCTACACTTTTACTTTTGGTCTACAGTGGTGTTATATTTTTTATTATTATATGGGAGAAATTCTCCAATAGATGAGCTCCGATTTCCTTTCCTGTCTTTTTATGTCTTCTAATGACAGTTGCTGCTAGGGATCTTGAAGCACACACTTCACTTGACATTGCCAAGAGAGAAAGAAAATCCAGCAGTATTGGCTACTGTACTTAGAATGGTTCCCCAAACCAAACAAGAAAACCACAGTGATCTTGGCAAACAAACAATTGAAAAGTACAGGTGCTGGGAGTGCGCACAGCCTCAAAATCAACATGACTTGGGAGGAAAGAGGGTTAGATAACAAAGAAAGGTGCTTTTCATTCTGAGAAATTTATTTCTTTTAAATATTTGCGATCTGCAGCCAATAGCACACAAGGCCACTTGGCATTATTTCCCGACAAAGAGGAGGGCTGGGCAGTAATGAGCAGATGCTTGAGTGGCCTGTGGCGTGAGGTGCACCATCCATCAAGAAGATCAATATTTACTGTTCTTTTATCTTTGTGGTGAAAGTTTGCTCTTAACAACAAAAAAAGTGGGTTTGTACTTTAATAAATAGACTATGGGTTTGACTTCAGGCAGTAAATACTGAAAGCAACAAGGTCTTCACAGACAAGATTCAGTATCCTCCTCCCTGACCAATGATGAAATGTTTAGTGTTTTAGGGAGTAAAATGTACCTGGCCCATGACATGGATGGTCTCTTCTCCATTCACATTTTCCGCCTTTTTTCATTCCAATTAAATCATATCTTGATGAAAGGTAGACCTTCAATATAATACTGTATTTAAAAATACAGTTTTTAAAGTTTATTTATTGAGAGAGAGGGAGAAAGAGAGATGGATCTCTGAGAAGGTCTTTATACATTTTGATATCTCTTCACCCAGCTGAGTCCTTCAGACAGCTGGGATCATGGGAGGACTGAAGATATGCCCAGTATGTTCATATTAACCAGAGAACTGAATCCAGGACATTCCCAAGTGGCCCCAGTATCACACAGTGTTGCCCTACCTCCTGTGCTACTGCTGCTTGCTGAAATATTTTTTAAGACATAAGTTAACTCTATTCAACTTGACTTAACTTGGATCCATGAAGCAAAGTGGCTCATGCTTTGAGATGAGATGATGGGGGTCACTGCCTTAGCTTTTTGGTGGCTTAGTCATACTTAAATCACAGGGAAGAGAGTTCTGTGAGATAGGGGGGATGGAATAAATAGATGAGTCTTGATCAGCTTCTTATACCATTGAAAGGATTTCATATTTGATCCATTAGACCAAAGAGTGGTCTACATCTTTAATGTGCTACGGATCTGCTGGGAACTTTGTTAAAATTCAGATCCTGATTCAGTAGAACTCAGGTGGGACTAGAGAATATCTATACCTAACAGGTTGCCAGGTGATGTTAGTAAGGCCACCCTTTGAGTTACAAAAAGCTACTTATCATTTGAATCAGTCACCTTTGATGATTGTTAGTGGTGCACATTTCTGCTATACCCTAGACAGTTTGCATTTTTGTATGTTCTCCAGATGATTTTCATGCATGGTAGTTTGAAGTTTACCATTTTAATGAGGAGAAACCATTGAACACTATTAAGAAGGCAAATGCCATTTTCAGGCTTGGATTTTAAAAGGATGACCTGAAAGAGAATTCCATAGAGGTGATTAGCAGGGATATGAGTGGAGAAGCTAATAGACGGCAGAAAATTGTAGAGGATGGAATGAGTCTGGAGGACATTGAGAGGGTAGGATTGATAGAATTCGGTCATGAGTAGGACTGGGAACCCAGGGGAGATAGAAGGCCAGGGTAACTTTCTGGGTTTTGGTTTGGATATGTGGATTTCTGGTTGTGCCAACACCAGGTCAGGATTGCAGCTATGTGTGAAGTGAAGAACATGACTTTGGAGTAAGTGAGAGTGGATTTAAGACCTGCTTCAGTACTTACTACTTGTATAGCCTTGGTAAATTACTTAGTTTTTCATCTGTAAAATGGAGATAATGATTGTTGTGAGGTAACATTAGCCCCATTTTGCAAAGATAGAACTTAAGGAATCAAGAGGATGAGTCACCCCGGCTCATATAGATGGAGGGAGGTATAGATGAGATTTGGACCTCATGATTCCATTTGGAATGATTCTACAGCCCCTGCTCTGAACCTCCAAGTTTGTCTGTGCATAGATAGCTTCAGGTGGGCAGTGGGGTTAACCAAATCATGAAAATATAGAAGCCTTCAAAAATTTCATGGAAAATGTGAATTGTGAAAAAAAACCCATGAGTCTTTATCAGCTTCTTATATCATTGAATTTCAGTATTTTTTTGGGTGGCCTGATGGTTAAGGTTCTGGAGTCCCACATGACAGACCCTGTTTCAAGTCTTGGACCTCGTGGCTGAAAAATCATGCCAGGCATGTGTGCATGCATGCCTACAAATCCAAGATGAGATTGAGGGAGAAAGAATTGTGGCATGGACACTCTCTCTGGGAGGTGACTTCTCACTTTCTCTCTGTCTCTCTCTGGTGAACACACATACTCTATGGCCAAAAAAACGGGAGGACATATCTCTTTTATTTAGCTTGGTCTATAGTCATGATAAAGGGAGAGTTTCCACTCAGGTGCTCTTCTGGAACCCTCCCACTCAATTTATAGTTTCTGCATTGAGACAGGAGCCTTTTCCTCAGAGAATGGGTAAGGAGTGGAGCATAAAAAGGATACCTGGAATAACACTATGAAAACCTCAGTCTTTAGTTAAGATCCTATCCCACATGTGAGCTGGTAGTTCTCTTATAGACACAGGAAGTTAATGCTTCTCTGAAGACACAATATTCGTAATATCAAACAATTCTATCTACATAATAATATCCAATATTCAAATCATGATATGCAACATCAAAATTGATCATATTCCATTATATTCACACAATAAAAGTTACGCACAACACCAGAAGGCAATTGGTATTGTCTGCATGTTTAATGAGTTTCTTTTAATAAGATTGTTCTTAATTATGGTCTTAGTTCATGTTATTTGTTCAATATCTTTGTAACTCTTTTTCCTCTATTTTCTGTTTTGGTTATTTCAAGATGACAAAGCTTGACTTGAGAGTTTCTGCTTCTCCATTTCCTAACCCCTTTGTTACCTGTACCTTCATCCTCTGACACTCTGACTGTTCTCTGCGCACAAATGACCTTTACTTGACATCACATGACTACTTTCTCTCTGCTTCTGAGACTTCGTTCTACTGTCTCCCAGTCTGAGAAGTCGCAACTTAATTCTATAAATTAGTGCATTACTGTCAACATTTTCCCATTTTCCTTAACCTTGTCTTGTTTATCATATTGGCAATAGAATCATCATCTGATGTATTATAAGGATATTTGTTTATTTTTTACTCTTCATTGAAATGTCAATTTCATGAGGGCAAGGACTTTATCTCTTGTATCTTGTATTCTCAGTAGCTAGACAGTGTTTGGCACATAGTGTAAATCAATAATACATTTTTGAATGGAGATAAGTTAATTAGACCTGACTATGAATGGGATGTTTATTTATAGGTAACTGGAATCAATTGTAATTGTTTGGGGGGTGGTTTCATTTAAAGAAGAAAGAATAAAACATACTTCAAAAATATTACTCGTTTAGGGAAGCAGAAATGGTAGGTGACATAGATATTTCTGGAGTCACAAACTTAATTTTATTTTGTGTATTTTTCTCCTCTACTCTACAGCCCAGCTCTCATCATGAAAGAACTGCTGTACCCTGTTCCCGATTCATTGGCCACATGAAGAATTTCTCTGAATCCTTTAAATTAAATAGTCTACCTTTTCTACATTTTCCAGGTAAATTAAGAAATATTATCAAAAAAGGTAAGAATTTCCAAAGAAACTCTGAAATAAGCATAGGTAAAAATAAGAAAGACTTTATTGAAGAACACGTGAACCGTGGCTCAAAATGGCAACAGAAGAGGGAATTTATTGGCTCATTAAGTTGGCAAATACAAGGGGTGAATTGACTCAAGGAATGACTGGATCCAGGGCTCACCAAGATTATCGTGATTGCATTTCTTTTTTATTGTTGGCTATATTCTTATGTTGGGTTCATTTTCAGAAAAAAAAAAGTAATGTCACCTGGTAACTATAGACATATATAATTCTCAGAATTTATAATCTCAAAAGTAAAGAAAGCCTTGGGACCAGCAGATGGCATAATGGTTATGTTGCTGAAGTCCAACATAGTCAACCGTGGTTCAAATCCCTGACTTAGCGGCTTAAAACTCACTCTGGGTATGGGTATGTGTATGCCCAAAATCCTGAGAGGAGAATGGAGGAGAAAGGATTGAGGCATGGTCATCCCCCCTGGGGGGTGGTTTCTCACTTTCTGACTGTCTCTTTGGTGGGCACAATTGTCCTTATAGCAAAAATTTCTCTCAAAAACCAAAACCAACCACCACAACAAAACAGTCCTTACACCTTACACCTTATCTGATGACTTTGACTAAAATTGGGCCTCATGTTTGCCCCTGGTATCTGGGAGAATGGAGAATATCTTAAATCAACTCTTGTTACCCTGAGACAAAGGAGGTAGATTGTTTGATTGACAGCTATATATAAACTACACAAAATGTACATGTGCTTATATGTGTGTATGAGGGAGAGAAGAATAGAGTGATAGTTTTCCAAAATAAATTGATATGGGGCAAGCAAAAGAGTATCATTTTGTGACAAGTCCAAATGATGTATGGTTGTATTAGTTCTATTCTATACAATGCTAACACTTTAGTCTATTGCAACAATTTGTGGCTCTCCATAGACTCCATTTTGCAAACCATTTTACTTAGCTGAAAGGGTAAATTAATTTACATGTCCAACTTATTACTTAAGAAAAATGAGGTTTTTAAGACCATTGATAAAGCAGGTTGCCACTATACTTTCTCTTAGACTATGTATTATTTAAGAATGCATTTATTTATTTACTTGAATATTAATAAAGTTAAACATTAATAGATATCAGGGCTATTAAGAGGTTTTGTCAGTTTTTATGAGAGTTCCAATGTCCTGGGGTAATGTAATTTTAATGGGGCCTTTTGAGAATCACATTGTGGCACACATTCAAATTCATTGTTATTAAAAAAAAAAAAAAACCTGAGGGGAGAATAATACATTCACATGGTTCAAAAGCTAAAAATATAAAGAGATATACAGTGAGCAGTTTTGCTCCTACTCCTATTTGAAATTGTTTTATTTCCCTTTCCCTCACAGAAAAGCACTTTCAGTGTCTTCTTGAGAATTCTTCAACACATTTTCTAAGTAAAAGAAAGTGAGTGCTTTTCTACCTTATTGTCTTCACTTCATGTTATGTCTTGGACTCTTCACATTGTTGCATTGAGAGCCTCCTCATTCATTTTTCCTACAACTTCAGAGTAATTCATTTGATGGTTTATCTTAATTTATCTAGTCAGTTTCCTTTGATGAACACTCTGATCAAGTTAAAATAAATAAATAAATAAGTGAAGTTAAATAAAATAATTCTTCTTTTTCTTTTTCTTCTTCTTTTTTTTTTTTTCTTAAAGAGCTATTAGACTAAAGTTGGCCAAAATAAAGAAAGTGTCTTGAATTGAGACAAGCAGGATTTAGATTATGAAGGGCCTTCTAGATCACAGTGAAGTCATAAGAGAGGCTTTTGTAGATGGCCATCTTAGTCTGGCTCAATTGCTATCACCCTGGGAGTGCTTCTACCAGCTGTTTCCCATTCTCCCTGTTTCTTAAATAACCCCCATCATCATATATGTCTGGGATCTCTCAAATTTCTATTCTTTTTAGGACTTGATAAAGCAAAATGGTACAAGATTGCAAAAATGTCCACAATAATTCACTTGTCTCTTGAATATAACTCTCTTTGAAACGTGTTTTCCCTCTTTCCATCATTAAGGTGTGGAACTTATTTCTCCACTCCTTGAATCTGGCTTGGCCACATGACTTGCCTTGTCCAATGTGACATTAGGAAATATTATATAAATAGAGAATTTGCAAGTTTTTATGTATTGAGCTTGCCCTCTACTTCTGGGAACTCTTCTACCCAGACTATCTTGCTGGATAATAAGAAACATAAGGTTGTTACTTAGCAGACAGCCGAGACATATGAGTAAGTCCCCTTCTAGACTAACTGGTCTGCCAATTGTTAGACATGCAAATGAGCTAATCCTGAAGTATCCATCTTGAGCTAAGTTGATGCAAAGCAGAACTGACCAGTCAACTCAGAAACATGGGAAATAACAAGGTTTTTTTTGTAAACTAATTACACTTTTTTATTGCTTATTATGTAGCAAAAGCTAACTGACACTTCATCCAACATTTTAGTGGTGGTAACCTATCTCAGACTTATTGCTGCTTATGCTTAGTCCGTGGAGAACTTTATCACTCAGCTTTACCTAGCAAATGGCAGGTGAAAAGGGTTAAAATTAATTCACAAAAGAAACTTGAAATTCTTGGTCAAGGTTGCTTCCATGTTATTCCATATTCAGTAGAGTGTCAGCCTCTGCTTTTTCTCTCGTGTTTTTTATCACAAGGTCAGATGCTAGGCCCAGGATGATGTAAATGGACAAAGGAGTCTACATTGTCTGACTGAGCACTGAGACCTTGCCTTTAGCAGATAGGTAGAACATTTCTCTTGTAAGGTACCTAGCCCTCTGGTTAAGAGCAACAAATCTTGGGTCAGCAGATGGCATGGAGGTTAAGGGGCTGGATTCCACATGGCCAGTTTCACATTTCAAGTCCCAAACCCAGTAGCTTGAGAATCACTCCAGGCACATGTGCATGATTGTGCAGAATCCTGAGAGGAGAGAGGAGGAAAAGGGATTGTGGAGGAAAAGGGATTGTGGAGGAAAAGGGATTGTGGTGTCACCATCCCACCTGATGGGTGATTTCTCACTTTCTCTTTGTCTCTCTGGCAAGCACATGTACCCTATAGCAAAAACAAATCAACCAAACAAAAGTGACGAATCTAAATTTACTCAAAATAAGAAGTAGGGATTAAATAGCTAATTTGCTTTAAATAAACCAAACCCCAGTAGAATGAAGAGAAGAGAAAATGAAATATTATGAAACTAAATCTAATTTTTTATCAGCTGAGCAGAAGTTAGCAAAGGAAGCTATTCTGTCTAATAGACTTGAACAAAAACTTCAATTCAATAATCAGGATTATTACAACTTTTAAAGGAAGTTGTGAATTTCTAAAGGAGGGAAAGTTTAGTCAACATCAAATACTGAAGGACAACTAAGACATATATTGAGAGAGAATGTGCATTTGTTTTAACAACTAAGGTTTTTTCGGAAAAATGGTCAAGAACAGTTTTTGTAGAATAATAGAACTCAAACAAAGCTGCTGAGACTGGAAGAGTGAAGAGGAAGTGAGGTCATCAGTAAGCCAGGTCTGGCTCAATTATTAGCTGTGTAACCTTGTGCAAGCTGCTTGACTTCACTGGGTCAGTCTCTTTTGCTCTAGAGCGGCAGCAGGAGAAGGCTGAATGACCTAATGTCCCTTTAAATTAAAAAAAAAAACAATTCAACCAGTGGTTACTCAGTTATTCAAAAGAATATTGTAGGAATGATTTGTTTTTTAAATGGGAAGGTTGATATCAAAATTTAATAAAATAAGATGTGATAGTCAAAAGTCAAGGCTTTTTACCTCTTATCTTCCTTGTTGCTGTTGCCTTCAGAGCCAGACATTTATATCAACACAAACATAAAGGCAGACAAAAGTGCACATTTATATGCATGTAAACACACACACACACACACACACACACACACACACACAAATTATACTCTTTAGAGTCCATATGATAAGACTGAACAAAACAGAGCAAGCCACAGACCACAGATTCGGCTAACACTTCTGAATCATGTCTGGGTGCTCTCCTGGCTACAGAGTGACATACAAGTAAATTCATCAGGGTGATTGTTTTCAAAAAGGGAGATGGGGAACTTACCTAAAGGATAAGGTAGCTGGCTAAGGAGTTCTATGATACTTATTAAATGCTGATTCTACCAAGCCGCATATGGAGTAGTGGGGGCAGACATAAGAGAAATGTGGGTTCTTACAGGATTGTAGAATTATTTCTAACAGGGAGGTCTCATAAATGTTCAGCTTTCTTGTGAACTGCCTTGATTGATATCAACCAAGTCTTCCCAGAATGTCACATGGGAGGCCTCTAAGCTGTTGGCCTCAGTCTTTGCTGTGGGGTAAGGGAAAATGTGCAGGTGAGAGGCAGGAAGATGAGAGGGTGATCTGGATTTGTTTACCTTGACTTGTACAGTTTTACTGGGAAGCTACAATTTGCTCCTTCCTGAAATGAGGGCCAGATACTTCTCATGTCTCTCACTGTGGTCTGAGTAGGTTTCTGTGATTGTTACTGTAAACCACTATACTGTGGGCACCGGCAGCAACCTGAGCCCAACCCATTCTCTGGAAAAGTCTTGCAAAGATTGGAGAGTCCTGTATTATAGGCCAGAAATTTCCTGGGGAACGCATATTTTGTTCATCCCAAATAAAATAAAAAGAGATGAATTGGCTTTAAAATGTCTCTGTTCAGATATCACACAGTTTTCTGAATCACATTTTAGCTGACTGAAGGCTATAGAATCCTGACTGAACCTTACGGGTAACTCCCTCTCTGAAGATTTCCTCTTACTTTGGCACAGTCAAAAACTTCCATTTCTCTCACATCTCAGCTTGTGAGAAAATTCTCAGATTATGACAGCACTTTTTCAGGTTTCTCACTCTTGAGAAGAAAGGGTGGTTCCCACTGGAACCTTGAACACTTCTGTGTCATTCTCACCAC